GAGGCTAGAAGTCCACTGAGGCAGATTACACCCTGTTAGAAAGAAATTCTTGTACTGTAATTTGTTGTATAACTTAGGTTTAATAAACAGAGGCAGAATAGCTGAATTATAAAAAAAAATAATAAAATTTAAAAAAAAGCAATATAAAAATATCAAAAATCAACCTTTTAAGTATCGCGCACTGTAGTAAAGATAACTTCGTTAATATAATTTTTTTTTGGTTTATTTGATTGGTTAATAATTAAATATACAAATCTTATCAAGTCACGTAGTAAATTATGTCTCGTGACTTGAAGCAAAGATCCCAAATATTAAATGTATAAAAAATAGAATACAGTACGTACGTAAGTAATATATAACGACAGATCTTAGTTCAAATATATAACTAATTTAGTAAAAAGTAATAATTATAACAAACTTCCTAAATAGTCTTCGGAAAAATTCGTAGCCTTTTCGATGAGGCTTAGGCTTGGATCATTATTTCTAGCTTTTGTTCAAAATACTTGTAAAAACAGGACTTAGCGTTAGGCAACAAATATCAATTACTTGTTTTGGAACATGATCCTACATAACCTGACTACATCACTGTAACTCGAAATCATATTCGAGGTCTTCGTTCAAAAAAAAAAAGTTAAATACGTATTTAAGGCATTACACAACTGATCTACTAATAGGTATTAAAGTAGTGGATTACTTTGCAGAACCTTCGTAGATTTTTCCACATCATGTGGAATTTTATTAATTTTATTAATATTGTTATTACACAGTAAAATTTCTTAAGCTCTTGTCAACCTTATTTGCATCTGATGTTACCAATCAACTCGATACAACAATATCAATAATAGTAAATAGATGTACGCAGAATTTGTATACTAAAGCAATTGCTGTTGAGCTCGAATTTCATTGGTTTCAAGTCCGAACCTTTCTCCGCCTCCTCTTTTCTTTTATGGGAAATTTGTGTAAAATCGTGGATGTGTGTATTCCCAGAAGCTTGCTGCTCGTCTGCTTATTTGCCTTCCAGGTGTTAATTAATTCACAATTATCATAGTATTGCCCGTAAAACAAATTCATTATATTTAAGTTAGGTCATTTGATTCAGCCCCACAGGTAGCTCAAATGTCCCACCCTTTTATATCACATACAATTAGTCTGCCGATTTGTGTTCAAAAGTATATTTGCTTCTGTCTCAAGTTCTTTCTAATCTTTGAATCAATTCTTGGGACAGTGGGCCACTGGCTGGTCCTGCATCATTATAGGTACCCAGTCACTCGTTTCCCGTCCAAAGACAACTAACTTTTTGCTCGTTACAATTCACTCTTGGACTTTTTTTTATTGTTGACTGCTTTATTTTCTCCGTTACTGTATTTTTTATTTTTATTTTTTTTTTACTTTTCACACGGTATACTGTAATTATATTTTACAAAAGCAAAAAACGACCATTTGAAACAAACCAAAAAAAAACTATACCTCGTATTAATTTAAAAAAATTAGCAAAAACTCCTTTGTAAAGTTATAAGATTATGGACGCCGGCGGTGTGCAAGTTCAACATCAACCGTCCAGCCAAGATCCTACCAGACAACCCTGGAGGAATAATAATTCAAACGGTGACCAAGGTAAACGTAGGGATAGCGGTAGCAACAAGTCTAAACCCATAAATCTAAAGTCCATTAATGTGGAGCGTGCTCAGAGTGAGAATCATACTTCAAAAACGGCTGGTAGCAATAATGGAGCTCAATCTGTTCGAACTCCAAAAAACAGCACAGTTTCCTAGACAAAATCAACAAGTTTATGCCATGCAGCCAACAAAGACCGCAACTCTTGTAAAAACTGCACCTCAACAACAAATGAATTTATCTAGGTCTCCACCTCAAATAACCAACATGCCTACCAGGTCTTCACCTCCGCAGACTGTATTTGTTTCAAGGTCTTCTCCTCCCCTAAATGCTTACAATAATTTGTCCAGGAGTCCTCCAAAAAATAATGGTCCTGCTACTGCTCCCACTCCCAAACAAAATCAACAAAAAACAGCCAGTTCTTCTAGACCCACCCCCAAGCCACTCAATTTGTCAAAGTCGTCTCCTCACGTTTCAAATTTGAGCAAGGTTCCTCAAACAGCAACTTTTCCTCCAAAGGTTAATAGAGCCCTCAATCTTCCAAATCCTCCAAAAACTGCAACCTTTGCTTCAAAGTCATCAGGGTTTCCAAAGGACACCAGGCAATCCATGAGAACACCACAGTCTGCTACCTTTCAACCTACTTACGCTTTCATGTATGGTGATCCAACATATATTCAAACCGTTGAACCATCTCGTTTTAGACGTTATAGCTCTACACCTGCTCCTCTTAGATTTGTGACAGCTGATTATCGTCAGGTTCAGTTGGGACCAGGTACTCCTGTGGTCGTTCTCAGTCATCCTGATGATTCCGATTCTCAAGGTTCATCACCACCTACTCCAGGCTACGGTCCTCCTGAAGGTTTCAATGGTGCTGATATTTATGATCTATGCACCATGCCTCCATGTGAGGAGGAGGAAGGTCAATATTATTATTATTACTATGATTACCCGCAAGAGTATGTTCCTCAAACACCTACTGGAACTTTGCAAAATCAACGTTCTAATTCTCTTCCTGCAAAGGATGAAAGGCGAAGAAGGTAATTTTATATATTATTTCTATTCTTTCCATTCTTTCCATTACAAACTTTCTTATCAAATTATTTTTATTCATTAATTATAGCGTGTTAGGGGGGCCTACGAAAGTGCATTCTGACGCAGTTCTTCCGATTCGTCAACCTAAAGGACCTGACATAGCCAAAAACTTTGCCACTCGCATTCGTCGAAAAGCTGTAAATAAGCTATACGCGGCTGCTGCTGAAAGACGAAGCAAATCAGCTGCTGATAGAAGAAAATCTGCAATGTTCTAGTTTGATGATTTAAAGTGAATTGGCTTTTAGACAACTAAAGAACCATGTATTTTCATATTATGGCATATAAACAATATATGTCTTAAAATTGTTATACTCGTAGTAGTAGACTTTATATTATATTATTTGTAGTCTTAAATTGACTTCTTGTCATTTTTCTTCTACAATGTTGA